TGCATACTTTTGCACTACTTTTAAAACCAGTTTTTAACCTCATGCATCAGATTTTGGTCAATTTGAAATATTTTGTTAATTTCAATTTTCAATTTAAATATTTTGTTAATTTAAAATTAGTCAACTAGTGAAATTTTCTTTCCGCAATCTTTTTCTAAAAGAAAAGTAAATTATAAATTGCGAAATGTTTTGTAGTGATTTTTGTTATTTTGTTGTTAGAGGTAGATTGATTTTTATATTAGTGTGTCAGTGAAGTACTCCAATATAATTTTTGGCTCATCCTGCAAAACTAGTTATAATAAATTATAATAATATAATATAATGATGTTAAAAATAACTTATGTGGTCATGGGTGCTGTCCTATAGCCTTGTAGTAACTAGCAGCTTTGGTAGAACCTTCTAGTAGTTTGAAGTTTACGTAGACACTGAAGTTCTCCTCAGTCACTGGTCCCTTCAACTACAATAGTTACTGTAAGTTGTTGGGGCAGCTGTGGATTAGGAGATAGAGCGGGTCATCTGGAAAACCAAAGGTCGACGGTTCAATCACCAGCTACTCAAGTCTTCATGTTGAAGTGTCCTTGGGCAAAACACTAAGCACTGAGCTTCCCCCAAAGCATCCAGAGTGTGTGTTGCTTAGTTAGGACCAAAGCACTCATGAATTTGTGTGTGAATAGGTGAATGAGGCTTGTAGTAAAAAGGGCTTTAAGTGCTCAAAGTAGAAAAGCAAAATAGAAAAAGTTCTAATAAAAACTTAATGTTGATCTTATTTGAAGACCCTTATAAATTGCTATTTCCACACTCCTACAGAACCCCAGCCCAATTCAGCTCTCCACCATATACTCCTCCACACCAAATGCAGAGATCCTTTTCTTCTCCCGATAATCTGCAGAAGCATGCCATGGTAAGTTTCTATTTCAAAAAACGATACTGTATTGTCACACTGCCATAATGGACAGAATTCATATGCGTTATTCAAGGATTGGACTTGGCTTCTTTTATGTTCAACTAGCTCTGTTATTGTGTAACAAATAAGTCAATATGTAAGCCGTGTGTAAAAGAGGACTTTTTATTTTCCCTCCATTTGTAGATGAACAACATGATGTGGCAGACTCACATGAAGCAAATGGACCAGTTAAACGGCTCCTTAAAACCTCCGCAGCGGCAGACGTTTGGAGGTGGAAAGTCTGCCAGTGGTGACTCACGGCATCATGACAATACTCCCTATCGGCATCACGCATCCCAGAATAACAGCACTGGCAGAAGCCAGCGCTACGCGGAGGAGCCGGGCTCTGGCCGTCATCAGCAACACGGCCACGGCCGAGAGAGCCACCACCACCATCATCAACACCAGAGCAACAGGAGTGGCAACCGTCACTATGACAACAGAGGCGGCAATAGACCATATGATGATAGGGGTAGCAACCGTGGCTACCAAGACAGTAGATGGCAACGATACTGAGATGTAAAAAAAAAAAAAAATATTAAATTCTGTACAGACTTTAAGTTCTTCAGATTTGAGGACACTTTTTTTAAAGATGATGAACTATGTAGAAAAACATTATTGTGTATACTCAGGTTGTTTGTAATGATCCTATCAGTTTTAAGATTTAATAACTCATGCCTTAGACACATTTTTTTAATTATTTTTATTTTACTTTTAAGGCATTTTAAAATTTGTACTCTTCTTTCGTGTGAGCTTTTCATCACAGACGTTGCAGATATTTTGTAGGGTGTCATTTTGTCATGAGAGCAAGGACAAAAGCTATAATTAGTAGCGATTTTTAGAATATAGGGGGGAAAGTATTAAAAAAAAGAAATTGGGCAGTTTTTTATGTTATGCAGATAATATTTAAACGGTGCTGCCATAGTTAAAAACGAAAATCTTCAGGTACTTTGCAAAAAAAGAACAATAACTTTCAGATTCCACCAGCACCACTTACTACAACAGGGCACTGACTTTTTCTGATTGTAACATCGTCTAACCTTGCTCTTTTCCAGAATTTTTTTTTACTCTTATGTGTAAGACTGTTTTAAAATGAACATTTGCATTATTATTATAAAGCCCTTTTCATTTGACTGCTGCCTTGTCTTTCATCTGGCTACAACTCAAATACCTTAGGCTCTTGGCTCTACATCGTGAACCTATTTACAGCTCTTTGTGTATGCGGCTAAGTTAAGTAAGTAGGCTATTGTATGTTGATGCTACATGCTGTAATGCATGCACACAAGGCCTTATCTGCACCTATAAATGGACCTCGTGTAACTAATATGCTTGTGCAGTGGGTTATGAAGTAATCTACAGGTGGCGCCACACACATCCTTTTATTGAATCAATTAAGGTGGTAAATATAACTGAGCCACATGATCAGCTCCTATTTGACCTTTCAGTTCATGATGCTTTCAAGTCTATACATAGGTTTGACACTCATTCTGTACTCTTGACTACATTCAGTTATGTTTGGGTTTACTGCTTATTCGCTAGAGTCCCACGTAACCGGTTCTTGTTCACCCTTAGCGAGTGGCACAGGTTTAGGTTTGGGCGACTTCGCAGAAACGAAAGGTAGTTCATTGTTCCAACTTAAAATTAGCAGGACTTTGATCCCTACCATCTGACGGTGCGATCAGGCTTTGTGTCCCGTTCTGTTTCTCGTGCAGTGGTCGTCAAATCACTTAATGTCTGTATAGATGTCATAATTACCCTTCCGAAAGCGCTTATGCCACTAACAGCGGCTCCCGTGCAATATCGACAACCAGATCCCTCGGTAAATCTCCCAGAGTCCAAAAGTAGAGCTGTATTTGCACCCTCTGAACTAAGCTCTGACTTGCTTGTAATCTACCTATGGTCTGATTGCATCCTGATGCTCCCAAATCGCTCTAATAGAGAGTATCCTCTGTTCGGTGTCAGTACTAGGAAGGCCTTTATTACGCTTCGGGCTGCGGCATAACTCTTCTAATTGGTTGATCTGCCTGGCGTCTCCAGCTCTGGAGCGGGCGGATTAGAGGCCGCTCGGTAGCCGCTGCTGTGTGGACTTATATAGAAGCGTGCCTCCTGAAATGATCCGCTTGCAAACACCAAGGGACTCTGCCTCCCCTGTAGCCGTGCCCCGCAATGCAAACCTCATCTGACAAGATGCCTGCAGCCGTGACTGCAGGAGCTTGGCACCACCTCAGGTTGCTGGGTTCACCGGGGACTAAATCTACCTCCACTCCCTTCAATGTATTGAATCTCATTTGACTTTAATATTAGCTACTGTTGTTATTTGCAATCACAAGTAAAGTTAAATACATTTAAATATTCAGAAATTATGTCACCAGAGAAGACTTTTCTTCTTTCTTTCGTGCATCAACGACTTAAAAAGTAAAACGTGTTCTGCGGACACCTCAGCAGTTGTTTCCATCTCCTCTTTGATCAAGCCATCAATCGTCTGAAAAAGAAAGCTGAGCTTCCCGTGCAGAGGTCCCACATTTCCCCCCTCCACACTTTGGACACGGCGGCTGTGGAGGTGCGAGTTGCCACCGGGTTCAGTTTATTTCCTGTTGTGATAATTGTTTCCCCCGGACACCGACTTTTCGACGTTTTTCGGACAGTTTGAAACTCTATCTGTACTAGCCTTTCTCGCCAGAAGACTGTTGTTCACTTTATTACAATCATAACGTACACAAATTTTTTTTTTTAAATAAAAACCAAATCAAATTATGCAGCAAGCACTCTTAAACTTATTTCTTTTAAACAGTTATTCGTTAGTGGACTTAAAAACAAAAGAGTAGCCAAAAATTAGATTTTGTCTTTTCTTTTCTGTGTGATAACAATTCTTAAATGAAGATTACAGGGAAATAAAACACTGAGAAAATATACAGAGATTAGTTTGTGCGAGTTGGACGTGCCTATAGCCTTCCACGCATTAATGCCAGAGCTGTCAGCTCGTGGCTGACACTCATCCTACCTTTATTCGAGCTTAATGACAGATACTTCTCTTAAAATAGATTTCACCGTTGAACCAAACGAATTCTGTGCCAAGCAGGAACAAGGATGCTTTTATTCTGTGGAAGCCAATTTTGTTGAAAAGTGACTGTTAATAAGACTTTTTGTGTATGATCCTGCCATGCATGCTGATTTGTGATAAATTACACCTGCCGCAGCTTGTTTGCGATATGAATAATGACTATAAGTCAACTGACATGGCCTGTAACCACAAAAGGTTTGGGGTCCGTTATAGCATAAATTCTTGTGTTTACCGTTTTAAAGTAAAATATCTTTTATGTGCCATTATTATTATTATTATTATTATTATTATTATTATTATTATTACGGTTGTTGTTGATGCTGTTGTTTTGTTAAAAATGAAAATGATTTTGCGGTGTATATAAATAATTAAATAGTTTTAAAGAAATAACAAACCACATAACTGTATGTTGTATAAAACGTATAATGTAGAAAGAAAGAAAGAAAGAAGTTATCCCGACATTCCCACATAAATGAACTTATGGTTCTCCGAGGTTATAGCCTGTGATAGAGTGAATATAGACTACACCGCATGCTGTTTCTCGGACAGATCCTTACGCACTAGTCTACAGCTAAAGACAATTACAAATGATTTCATGTGAATCATGAAGCGCCACCAGTTTTGTGTTAATAAATAATCTTAGCCTGAAAACCGAGGTCTACTTGACCTGAAACACTGCTAATAATATTAAATGTATGAGTTTGATAGGTATATTAATATTATTTTAATAGTATAGCTCTAATGATAATATTAGTTTCTGTTCTGGAAACTGTGGTTTTACTCTTGCGCTCTAAGTTCTGGGCTAGTCCGCAAAATAAAGCTGAGAGAGAAACAAGTTTTTATGCGGGCATGAGGTATTGTATGTACAGTACGTGTGTGTGTGTGTGTGTGTGTGTGTGAGAGAGACAGAGAGAGAGAGAGCAGCAGAGTTGTGTTAAGGGATGGTTTATATAGCGGTGGGTGTGAGCACAGATTGTAGTGAGTTCATTACCGCTGCACCGCTCTGCGCAGCTCAAGTTAAAGGCTAGCGATCCTCACCGGGACACTTCAGGGAAAGCTAAACTTCATTTTTAAAGATAAGCAATGAGCTGTTTTAACGCATGAACTCCAACAGTCGGCTTTAAAGACGGTTGAAGCTTCATATGCTTAGAAATTACTGAAGACTTTGTGCAGCGACGATTGCGCACGACGCACAGGGACAGATCATGCACTGTCAAGCCGAGTTGAGGCTCTCCTCCCCTGGGCAGCTGAAAGCTGCCAGGCGGCGCTACAAGACTTTCATGATTGACGAGATCCTCTCGAAGGAGACATGTGATTATTTTGAGAAACTCTCTCTCTACTCGGTGTGTCCTTCACTCATTGTTCGACCAAAGCCTCTTCATTCGTGTTCGGGTAAGACGTTTCTCCCGTCTACTTGGGAAAGAAATAAAGTAAACAGATATTTTTAAAATATATGTGAGACGCACTCATTAGTAGGTTGCAGATAATTTTACGCATAAAATGGAAACACTTACATAGTATTTCGGTACTGTAATCGATTTTTTTATTTAAATAATAATCAGAATAATATGATATATTTAAATGTCGCGTGATTGGTGAATTGTTATTTCCTGTACACAGGCTGAGGTATATGAGGCAGGTACAACTCGACATACACTCAATGGTGATGAGGATTATGCGTCTGTGTTGACAGAACAATATGGTAACGTAGCTCCACATTGTGTTCAGTTACTCTATTATTATTTTAATGATCATAGATAGATAGATAATTGATTTGATACGATAGTACAAATAAAAAAAATATAAACATTATTGCATTGCCAGATTTCATATCTCTTTGAAGGCTTGCATATTTGTTTTCTAGTGTCGTTTAATCACAGTTAGTCTGGACTTTCTATTATTGCTACAACAGTGACTTCATCTTCATCATTCTAAACTTTACATGATAAATCGTTTCATATCAGCTAAGTGTTTGGTGTTGAAACTCAAGTCCATTCGTCAGTGAATTTCAATGATGCTTAAGAACTTTTTTTTATCGAGCGGATAAATGATTGAACTGATAGGTCAACGAAGAGCGCAGCAGATAAAGTAAACGATAAAGAAAAATCTAACGCTAGAAACCCGTCATAACTAAGCGCCAACCTTCAGTCTATTTTATCTCATTTGTTTTGATGAATATGAGTTTTCTAGCTTACCAAATGCTGCCCTCAATGTCCCTTACGCGGTGGGTATTTACAGATTAAATGATGATAAATGATTATGTGTTGCTAGAAATATAGATGTAGTAACATGGAAAAAGTTGTAGGAAACAAAACTCTAATGATAATAATAATAAAAATAATAATAATAATAATAATAATAATAATACTAATAATAATAATACAGTGTACTGGTGTGTTTAGACCAATACTGAAGGAAATATAGAGCTAAATTATATGACTTAAACGAATAACCGTGGCTCTTTTTGAGGTTATTTAGTGTGTTTTAGTATTTCATGCTCATGCTGCTGAAATGAGATAGATAGATAGATAGACAGACCATTGATTTGAAGTCAGTTTGAAAACAGCCCCTTAAATGTGTCTTGTAGTCGCTGAACCAAACTACAGTTTGACAGATCTCATGGTACACCATGTTACCTTTCACAAAAACACAACTTTTTTGTTGACTCTTAACTTGTATTTTCCACTGAATCACAACAACTCAAAGGCTACTGCACGCTCTGGTAACCATTAGGATAATTGCTCTAGAGCCTGAAATAATAGCCACTGCAATTTGATGATGACAGCGATGGGGGGGATAAAAATAGGGGGAACGATTCCCTCATCCCTCTGATATGGTTGGTGTATGCTAGAAGGCACTATGACTGGGCTTTGGCACCCCTCTGTTCGAATGGATAGTGTAACCCGCCCTGCATATCAGAACACTGTGCCCACTACTTATTTGTAGCTGTGGGGGTGTTAGACACAGTATATTCTCCAACATCAATGGCTTTTAGAGCTTGATATGGAAGCTGGCAGGCTTAGAGGTCCTGGGCCAAAGAGAGGTGGCTGGCTGCTGAATGGCCCCCTAACAGTGAAAGTTGATTTCTTCATTCTGTGAAGGAAAAGCTGTTATAGCCTCCTGCTGCCAGTTGAGGCCGCTGAAAGACAGTGATGCCATCAATGTTGACTGCAGGATGACAAATGAGATGTTAGTTTACTGTGTTTTTTTTGTTTTTCTAATTGCTCCAGTGTTAGTTAAACATACCACCTTAATGTTCTCAGTGCATTTATTCTGAGAGTTGTTGTTGTTTTTATCTTCACCCCCCCCCCCCCTCCCAATGTTAAATAAACTGAGCTTTTAATGGTGTACAGTATTCATAGAATTTGTTCCATGTGAGTTACAGAGGGATCTGAGATAATGAGCCTTGACCTGGTGCTGAGCAGTGAGCAGCAGAATGGCAGCTTACAATATTTCATTTGGCTTTCCATCTCTCAGCAGGACCTAGGGTAGGGCTTTTAGTGGTGTTTTCTGGAAGAGGTGAGAGAGATTAAGATCAACTGTGGTGTAATCTCACCTGACAACATAATGAAAAAAAGAGTAGTGTGAAGCCCAAGGGCTGCTGCATACTGGTTTAGCACTGGCTGAGGGCTTATAGGAGAAATCCAAGTGAGCAAAAGGGTTTTTATCCCATCTTAAAACTTAATCTGCTGCAGACAATAAAGTCTCCCATTAAGCATAAAGTCAAGTTAAGCAGTATGATTACACCCATGTCGGCACACACAGGCGAGTATGCATACACACAAAGAGAAAATGCACACAAGTCTTCAATCTTCCGTTAAGGATAATGTTTGACAGCTTGTCATCTCCTTGTCATTCCTGCATAGCCATGAGATTTTTCTGTTTCTAAAAAGGATAAGTAATAAGTTGTCTCTAAAAGTAGTTGATGCTACGGGCTAATTTCTGCTGCCACCTCTGTAGATCGGGTTTCAGGCTAAATGCTTAGCACGTTTAACGCGATGCTTTTTGATAGATGGGCTGACTCTCTTAGAGAGCAAAAACACTTTTACACAGTTACGCTCAATAAGATACAAGACATTTTTTCTCTGGCACATTCCGAGAAGGACCATTAAATTCCTATGATCAGTCAGGATTAGAGGAATTTAACGGAAATTAAATATTTGTGGCTGAGGAAAAACAGAGAAACTACATCAGGTTGTCCCAGCAGTGTTTGATTTGTTTTCAAGGAGCGAGGACAAAAGCAAACAAGCAAAAAAGAAAGACAATTAATTGAGCAACATCCTAGATGTCATCAGATAGTTTATATGCAGAACATGTCAAATGTTCACGTACACTTGTCATAGCAAAGCAATGACTCACCCATACTTCCTCACCATTGAGGAAAGAAAACAAGTGACAGAAGGAGTGTAGATGTTATGATAGGCATCAGGCAGTTCCAGGTTGTGACATTAAAATTGTGGCATTAAAACTATTTTCCGTGTAGTTCTAAAAATAACACGCTTGCTCTTCACTCAATGAAAATGAGTGCAAAATAAAGTTTTTTTTCAGTAAGTGTTATGTCATAATAACCATGTTATCAATAGAGAAAACAGCTGGTATCAAAAGGAGTGCTTAACAAACTGCTCTTCTTGATCTATTCTTAGCAAGTATGTCTTCTGTAATGGTTACTACAAGCATTTGTACCAGTGCCTGCATTCCAACTGTGATTATCAAGAGTATCAGTGTGCTTTTGCATGGAGCTGAACTGCGCTCTTGCAACTACTCAAACAGTTTATTTGTAGACTATTGACAGGACACTGGCACTTGTCAACAGCATGTCAGAGGGATGGCTTTACTGTCAGTGGAAAGTCACCATGAGGGCTAGCATTCTTTGCTCCATTCTTTGTTAGTCGTCTCACCTCTGGGGGACTCTCGGTAGACACCGTTTAGTTTTGTTGACACAAGATTTTCTTTAGTTGTGAAGACAAACAAAAGTGTGTTCTTTTGTCGGACAGCCGTGACTGACACGGTCCACTTTTCCTGTAAATTATAGTTCAGTAAATATGTATGATGTATTTATTATCTCTGATGAGTCACTCAAACAAACATAGATATGATACAGAGCGAAAGACAGAAACCATGTAAAAGAAACATGAATATATGGCAAGCTCATACAAGGACAGAAGAGAGGTCTTCTTGTCTAGACTTGTTGCAATACCACCAATCTAACATTGGAGGATTAGCGATGACCTCAGTGTCTTACCATGATGTCATGATGAGCCTTAGGCAGAGTGTCATGTGTGTATGTGCCTTTCTTCGTTTGGAAGGCAACAGTGGCTGTGCGTATATGCATTTAAATGTGGCATGCTTGCTGTTAATTAATAATTAAACAGAGAGGTTTAACTGAATTGATGCACATTTTATAGCTTAAGTCTCTGTATGTATGACTCATTTAACCGTAAGATTCAGAAAGTGTGCTCCATTTTCTTTCTGGGTTCATGTTGTTCTCACCTACCTTGAAAAAACATACAGAAAAAGTTCAGACAGCATGTTTTCTGTCAGCTCTGGCATATATATTTCACTGCGTTGAGGTTGTCTATTGGTTAACGAGAAGCTAAAGAAGACAAATCTGCCACAGGCACCCAGAAACACACATGCTGGGCGTTTCCGTGTGTGACAACTGGCTATTTTTTCCTTGCCACTGGAGCATTTTATCCCTCTCCGTATCTTCTTCATCTACTCCCATAATACCACTTGTGCCCTTTCCACTGTTCCTTATCAGCCCGTGCATTACAGCCTGCACCATGCTCAGATTGAGTGTGATTTCTGGTTAAGGGAATGGTTTTACTCTTTAAAGCTGTGTAGATTTTTTTTTCTCTGGCAGATATTATATTTGCTTTGCGTGACCCACTGCATCCTCCGTGCTAACCTCCAGGTCTCCATCTCTCCCCCATAGGCTCCAGACAAGTGCTGCTTTTATTGATTCTGGCGTCTGCTGCTTCTGTCTTCTCTGATAGAGAGCAAAAGTGTGTGTGTGTGTGTGTGTGTGTGTGTGTGTAGTTTGCAAGAGTGGGAGAGAACATAAGAGAGGGGAAAAGTTTATTATTTGAGTGGTGTCCGATTTAGTTTTTAGATTTTATTACAGCTTATTGTGCCTGCACTCGTCTCCGTGTGTGGGTGTGCATGTGGTTGTTTTGTGTTGGGAAGCAGTTAGCGCTTAACAACCTCTGAAAAATAATCAGTCATTTGAGCGGTTCAGAGGATCAGTGTAAAACACAGCCTGCGTCATTGGGATCACAGCCCTCTACATGAGGAAGGTCACAACCAAAACACTTTTCACGGCAAACGCTGGCCAATTAAAAACGAACCTGTCTAAGCAATTACAGGCGGTCGATAATGGTATAACCGAGGTGACTGAGCAGTCCAAAATAGCTCTCTTTGAAAGCTGCGGTGATTCAGAAGGATGTGTATTCTAACTACTGGACTTTAATGCATTTCTCTATGTTTGTGTCCAGGCTCCTCGTCACTACGTGCCTACCCGCTCCTCTCAGTGATCACGAGGCAGCCGCCCAACCTGCCTGCTCACGTCCCGCAGCCGTCCTCTCCGGGCGCTGCCCATCCACATCTGCCACTGCTTTCCCCACAGCATCCCAGAGGCTCCGAGCTGTCACCCAGCCAGACGCCCCTCAGTATCAGCAGCGAGTCGGAGACTGAGCGCAGCACACCCCGCCTGAAGAAGCCACGTCGCAGCCGTACTATTTTTACTGAGCTGCAACTGATGGGCCTGGAGAAGAAGTTCCAGAAGCAGAAGTACTTGTCCACTCCTGATAGGTCAGTACGGTGCAGACACTAAAATCTGACTGAAACGACACACAACATAAAAGCCCATAAACGAAACAAAGTCACGATTTCGCCTCATCCGCACCAACATTTTGCATAAAAGAAATCAAACCTCTGAAGCGTCAGAGGTAACCTCTACATGCAGTTGACGAGAATGCACCAGCAGCAAGTGTGATATAAGTGCAACTCAGCCATAGCATTTTGACAACCTGCATGCGAACTTACACGAAGCAAAATTTGAAAGTGCATAACGTGCGCACCCTCGAGCACATCCACAAAGCCACAGATGCAATTATCAAGTGGCGGTTAACCCAGCATCATAAGTTTTGATTTATCCTGTGGGGCATGTCTCATGTAATGTGAATTCGTCAAAGCCAAAGCATTACCTCAGCGTTCTAGTTGAGACACGAGTAACGTTTTAACCCTGAGCTCTAGAACAGCAAAAGGCCCCAGCAACCAAACACTGCCTTATTCAGTGAAACAGGGACAGTGGCCAACACAAGCAAACAGAAATGTATTACACTGATTTACTGCCAATCATTTCACACATCTGCAGGTGTACATAAAGTGCATTAAGCTTTCTACAATAAGATGAAGTAATCTATATGGTAATATCTGTGTCTTAAGTTCCATTCTACGGGTCATTTTTGGGACCGTATTTTTTCCAGTTAAAACTGTAGAGCTCGACTTTATATTTGGCCTGCAGGCTGCTTTTCCATTATAAGCCAGAAGAGCATTTTGCCATAAATGCTGTTTAAAGCGCTCCAAGCAGCTTCACATGTGCAGCAGGAATTTTAAGCTGCTTGTGAACCTTCACGTAGAAATTTCGTGCACCTCTGTACCCCCTTATTCCCCCTTATTCATTTTTTAATATGCATAGAGAGTGGTGATAAAAACGTAAATAACTGCTGCAACATGTTCACCTGTTTACACACTGACATAGCTCCTCTTTGCAGGAACATGTTGCAAACGCATCGTCCTCGTTGCACTCATTGCAGTGTAACTGTGTGCTACGTGCGATCTAAAAATAAATTAGCATTTCTGGATTAAACCAGATTTATTTGTCATTCCATTTACATCCTCTCCATGGGGAAAACTCCCACGATGCATTATTTAATGTATCACATCTTTGCCTGCCTGGAGCTGCTGGAAAGGTGCCATGCCTCATCTTAAGCAGAAGCCCCGAGGCAGAGTACAACTGAGTGATCAAAAACCAACTACCCGTATGAAATACTGTGCCAAAATACTGTGTCCTGTCAAAATATCCGATTCTGACACTGTGTTGAAAATTAATTAAACACCCAGGTAGTGGAAAAACATCAACAGAGAAAATCCCCTTTTAAAACCCCACATCAAAGGTGTGGCATGCGCCTCACTTAGGTTTGTTATGATCCAAAGACAACTTAGCTTCCCTCTTCCCTTTTCTTGGCCGAGAATCTCTGCGGTCTCGAACTGAGAGTATGCGCGGGGGCGGACAGAAGCAAAACCAAAAATATTCCTGAAAAAAAAAACGACTTTAAAGTATTTATATTGCGGAGCGGTAATGATTTTGTTACACTTCCGAGTATTATTACAAGTGTTCTAATGATCGTCATCTTTATCATCATCGCCCTTGTTAAGAGGTATTCAGTTTCACCCAGGAGTCCCGTGAAAAGTGTGAGAACAGAACAAAATGGCGGCCTTGCAGTGGCCTGGAGGGAGTGACTCAGATACTGTTTGTACTGCTGTGTGCGTGTGGTTTTTCCCCATTGAGAACTAATGACTATAAATAATTGGGGTGTTTTGCTTTTTTTGCAATTACTGTTTCTAGCCTCCAGTTTTTACTCTACATCTATAGAAATCTGATGGACAGCTCAATTGCCCTCATGTCTTGTCTTTTTAGACGCACGCACACACATGCTTCTTGTCTAGTATAAGGTAATGCAGATAGATCCATGAATCTCAGGGATTTGTTTTTCTGTAGCTCTGTTTTTTAGATTTTGTTCTCTCTTTTTTACTGTCTTGGTTTTCACTATCACCATCAAATGAAAGTCAGCTCCTGTCCCTGGGGGGTGCTGGTCATGAAAAATCCTTCATCTGGCTGTTAAAGACCTGGAGTAAGATCAGGGAAGAGGAAATCTCATTTAAGAAAAAAAAGAACTTTTCTTTCTACTAATGGATGCCTTGTCCACTTTATCTGGCCCTTCCTAAGGTTTTATATTACACACCAACAAATAGCCCTATTAGTCATGGATCACCACATGTGGTGGATGCATTCAGAATTTTCTCCGACGGTCTCAATTATCCAGCTACGAGCGCTATGATGGGATTACCGATGTCGGCATAGATGGCTGCAGGTGTACAGTGTCAGACTGGAGTTCCTGGCATATAATCTCTGGCGTGAGATGCTTAAACAGAGTGTGGCCTAACGCTCTGTTTAAGTTTTCAGTGTTGCGAACCTTTAGGCATGAAATTGCATTATATAGTTGAAATCATAGTCTATAATTCACAGAGCACAATTAGTGTCAAGATTTCTTCATTTTTGTGTTCGTGTGAAGAGAAACTGATGTTTAAAGCATGCCAACAATAATGATATATGTCCTGGATAGGTTCCAGGACTGTACTGGAACAAGCACACTAAAATATATACATAAGTAAACTTTATCTTGTTTTTTTTGTGCTTCTGCAGGTTAGACTTGGCACAGTCGCTTGGTCTCACACAGCTTCAGGTGAAGACATGGTACCAAAACAGGCGTATGAAGTGGAAGAAAATGGTAAGTTCTGAAGTAAAGCTTGATGTGTTTTTAGTTGTACAAGTCAGATTCAACAAATATTCTTAACTGGAAAGGCCGTCGGTAGTGGAATTGGAAAAATGACAACGTCTTATACTAACACTGCAACTGGCAATAATGTGTATGATCTTCTTTGCCAAAATGAGCCAATAAAGTAATAATACTGAAGCCAAAGGCAATGTTAGTTTTGGGTAAATCAAATCTAAATTCAGATTATTTGGACAAAAGCATTTTGATTAAATGTTGATTGATTCTTTTATGAGAAAAAGGATTATCTGTAATTAAGTACAAAAACTGAATGTGTTATTATGAGTGCTTTTTGCATGCAGGCCAGTAATATTTGTTTTTTGCTTCCTTTTCATTTTGGATTATTTTGTTTTCATTGTACACCACCGTTTTAGAAATGTTTGCTGCTACTATTTTATGCTACAATATCAAGTAAATATAGCAACATGGAAGGAAGTGGAGGGTGCGGAGAGGCAGAGTGTAGTGTGACTGATGATGACGGCAGCGAGAGCAAACACTTTTTGTAGAAGGGTCAACAACTGAGAGAACAAAAAAGACCTGAAATCGTTAAAGATAAATGAGTGCACAAGGCGGAGCCAGTAGCGATATGTCTTCACTTAATTACTATAATAGCAAGCATTGCCTTTGACTTCTGCTGCCATTTATCACCAGAGGAGTCCACTAAGACCGCCTGTGTGTTATTCTAGGTGCTCAAAGGAGGTCACGAGGCTCCGACTAAGCCCAAGGGAAGACCCAAGAAGAACTCCATTCCCACCACGGAGGAAATAGAGGCTGAAGAGCGGCGACTGAAAATTGAAGAAGAGGAGAGGATGAGGAGATTAGCTGAGAAAGCAGCGGTGGTGCAGAGTGGAGGAGAAGCACCCCAACTGGAACCTCAAGATCTCAGTTCGGAAAGTCACAATCCAGCCGGAGCAGTGGAGGGATCCGAGCGAGAGCTGCCACTCCTTGTGTCAGAAACTCACACAGCCAGCTAAGCAAGAACAAACCAAAGACTAATGCCAACCTGAAAACAAATAGTGCCTCAGGATCACTGTAAAAAAGCCTGTGTGGTGTTAAGAGCCAGTTGCTTTAGCTATATCGTCGGCTTCACGTTAGTGGCCTAGAGCTTTTACCCAGTGTAGCATTGAGTTTTTCGTTCACTGGAAATTGTGCCATACTGAGAGCAAATCTCCATAAATACTGATTGCACTGGTAAACCTTTTGCCTTCAGCCTGCAGCGTAAGGAGTAGTAATCAAAAAAAAAAAAAAAGGTCGGTCCGGCCTTAACGTGTATCTCAGCAGTCATCGTTGGTGCCAAAATATCAACCAATGCCTTATTAAAAGGTGTCTATGAATCTTTGTATTATACATTACTTCACTGCCAAAACTCTGTAATATGAAACGGTTACAGTGCCTTCTTGGTCTCAGAGGAAAGCTTTTTAAATAAAATAATATCAAATGCAGTATATTTTTTATAATCATTTCTAACTGTAAGTGCCATATTTCGAGACGGATTTGTAAAGTTTAGACAAGAAGACCTCTATTTTTTAGTTTGGAGTCAGATTGTAGAGCTCTGGTTATTATTTGCTCATATAAGCTTGCATTTTTATTTTGTTTTTTCAAAGATCAAAGGAAATGTTTCCCCCAAGCCATACACTGTATCATACAATAGAAACATGTAGAAAACATATGGTCTCTCAAATATATACACGTATGAACAAGTATATAAACTGCTGTTTTTTAATTGGATTGGATGAAAAATAGTATATATATATAT